CAACTTTTTGCTGGAGTTAAGAGTCTCTCAGATTTTCTGTCCGGACTGGCTTTGAGCTGTGATCCTCTGAATCTCAATCTTCTGAGTAGCTAGAATAGGCATAAACCACCCGTGCCCAGCTGCAAGGGAGCTTCTTAAATCTAGGTGCCATGCAGGGTGACCAGGAACTTGTGGGCTCCAGCCCTGTGCCCCAGCTTGGGCACTAAGGCACCTCTCCCTTCTCCATAGCTTGGGGGGGAGGGCGGGCTGGTTCAGGACGCAGGGCTGTCAGTGAGCCAGCTGTGAAGAATGCGGGCCATGGGGAGCATTCTTGTCCGGTGAGGGTCAGCCACTCCTGCCCTGCATGCTGTCTACTCCAGTGGGCCTAGCACTGTGCTGCTGTCTGTAATGAAACGCTGTGTGTGAGGGGGGCGGGGGCGAGCATGTGTGATACCGTGTGCGATGGCTGCACTGCCTGCCCTGTCCGCCTGCCCCTGGGAGAGGGACTTTGCCTCCAGGACCAAATCGTACTCACCTCAGACTGAGGCTGGGTTCAGGGCTACAGTAGTAACCAGAAACCTTTTTTTATTTTTATTGTTTTGTGCCAGTCCTGGGGCTTGAACTTAGGGTCTGGGTGCTGTCCCTGAGCTGAATTTTCACTCAAAGCTGTCCCTCTACTGCTTGAGCCACATAGCTCCACTTCCAGCTTTTTGGTGGTTCATTGGAGATAAGAATCTCATGGGCTTTCCCACCTTGGCTGGCTTCAAACCTCGATCCTCGATCTCAGCCTCCTGAGAAGCTAGGATGACAGGCGTGAGCCACTGGCGCCCAGCAGTAAGCAGAAATCTTTAAGGCAGAAGTGGGCGAGGGGAAGGGGAGGTGGCTCACCAGCAGCGACCTCTAGCCTCACTCAGTGGAGGGCTGAGAGGAGGGTGTGGTCTTGTTCTCTGGTGCTATGTGTGCTTATTACACTTTTATCCCAAATGACACATGTTGCCCGTGACAAACACGTGCCCACTGGGGTCTCTCCTGCTTCCCACACTTGCAGACAATCCCGGGGGGGGGGGGGGGAGGGAGATTGAAGCCCTCCTCCAGCACTCCGCCCAGCCCCCCTCCCCCCTTCACAGCCCTGGCGGGCAGGACTGAGGCTGACTCATCATCCTGGGTGTGCCAGGGGCTCCTGCCCACCCCCCTTCCTGGGCCAGCCCCCTGGCTGAACCGCCTGTTGCTGCTCCTCTGTTGGCTGTGTGCCCTGGCGGTCGCTCAGAGGCTGCTCTCCACCGTGGTTTACCCTGGCTTGCTCACTGTTTGCTTTGGCATGCCTGGGCCACACCTCCCACTTTGAACCCAGTTTTTCAAGTTTAGGGCCCACCTGTGCAGTGACACCAGGTCCCCAACGGATTGGCAGTCCGCCTCAAGAAGAGGGTGGGGAGAGAGTTCACAGCCCCCTGCAGTGGCCTGGGAAGGACTGCCCACATGGAGAGGGGGTCTTGGAGCCTACCAGGGGGCTCTGCCTCGCATCTCCCCGGACCGAGGCCTGCTCTGCCCTGGAGCCCCTCGCCCTCCCACCTCCCAGGACCATGAAGGGCACAGGAAGCAGCGGGTCTGACTTGCAGCTGCTTGTCTGGAAGAAGTCACTACCCCTGGCCAGTGCCTCCTGCAGATGCTGGGGCATGGGGTGCCGTTCACGCCTCTAGCCAGTGTGGGACACCTGCAGCACCTCAGGGGTTAAGTGCTGGTGAGACTGTGCACACACACTCCATGTGCACGTGGCCTCCTGCAGCTGCTTGTAACAGGCAGTTTAAAAATTCACCGTGTGGGTTGGCTTTGCACAGCCCCGGCGTGCAGCCAGCTCAGGGCCGTGTGCATACCCGGCGCTTTGCAGCTCTGCCTGGGCATCCCCATGTACACCCACCGTTTGCTTAGGGCTCTGAGATGGAGGGTTTCAGCCAGTGGGGATGCAGGGTTCTGGGACAGTGCAGCACAGCCTTGGCGGAGTGGTGCTGGCCTTTGCCTGGTCAGAACCCCATAGAAGCCTCACACCCACTGGGCACGGCCAGTTCCTGTTCCGTATTTGCTGCTTGGTGATTGTTTCTTCATGTTGTTCACTGTGTGTACCTGTGCCAGGCAATGTGTGTTTCCCACTTGACCTGGCTGCTAACTTAATTCTGAGGCCTAAAGAATGTTTGACGCATTCTGGGCTGGGCAGGCAGCTCCGCGGGAGAGTGCTCACCTGGTAGCACGAGGCCCTGAGTTCCATTCCTCAGCACCACACACAGAGAAAAAGCCACAAGTGGAGCTGTGGCTCAAGTGGTAGAGTGACAGCTTTGAGTGGCTACGGGACATTGCCCAGAGCCTGAGTGTGAGCCCCAGTGTCCGCAGAGTGTATGCGTGCCCACGTACACGCTGTGTGAAGAGCCGAGGGAGCTCCAGCATGGAGACTTCCAGGGCGGGTGGTTGGTCAAGGTTGCTGCTGCTTGCACTGTCCCCCTTGTTCATGGACTTCACCCCTCTCAAGGGCGAGCAGCCTTGGGGGCCGGGCCCTGTGTTCCAAGAGTGACGGCAGCACCAATGAGGCCAAATAGTTGGGTAGACTCCCCTAGCCAGGTATCCCGGACTAAGGCCAGCCCCAAGTATCTTCTGGGTCCTGAGAGCAGGAGGTAGATCCAAGACACACACACACACACACACACACACACACACACCCATAGAAACACGATAACCAAAACCCGAGCAAGGCTCTGGTGTGTTTGGTGGGCTTTCCGGTCTCCACCGCAGTGGCTGATCAACTGAGTGCTCACTCATGCCGAAAAGCAAAGGGCACATGGTTCTCGGCAGCTCACCTGTGACATGAGTGTGGGGTAGGCTTTGGGTTTCCTGTGCCACAGGCCCTCCCATGGTCATGGTGTGCCAGTCAGAAGGCGGTGTGTGTGTCTGTGAGTGTGTGTCCTGGTTGCAGCCCAGGCCTCTTTCCATGAGGTCTGTGCTTGTGGACTTGTGCCACCCCACCCACCTCAGCTCAGAATGCTTGTCTCACTGGGCGTGGGTGGCTAGCTACTCAGGAGGCTGAGATCTGAGGGTCATGGTTTGAAGGCAGCCTGGAAGGAGGGTCTCCCATGAGACCCTTCTCTCCAATTAACCAGAAAACTAGAAGTGGTACTGTGGCAGGAAGTGGTAAAGTGCTAGAAAAAAGAGCTCAGGAACAGAGCCCAGGCCCTGAGTTCAAGCCCCATGATCAGTAAGAATGCTTGTCTCGGTGCTGCCCTCCTCCTTCTACCCCGTTGGCCCAAAGGAGAGGTAGGAGTGGGACTTGTGTCCTCGGCAGTGAAAGACTCCCTTCCTCTGCACATGAATTCCGATCGATTGTGGTCACAGCTTCATATCAGCCATTGGAGGCCACCACAGGGGGTGACTGCTGTCTGGTTCCTACGGGGGCCAGTTGCTGCTGGTTGCGTGGCAGTGGTCAGGCCTGCAAGCACTCCGGTCCCTGTTGCTGGGCGGCCGTAACATCCAGCAGCAGGCAGGAGCCTGTGCTCACTTTTCCGTGGAGGTGCCCGCGTGCCGTGGCACTTGGTAGGTGTTACCGGGTTGACAGGTGGTCTGTGCACAGTGTAAGGTGTCTGTCATAGTGACCCTGCGGGGAGGGTGTGGGTGGACCGGTGAGTCCTGGCTCTGGTCACTCATGTTCAGCTGTTCTGCCTTGCTTACTGGGAAGCCAGGAGGCTGGTGGGGCTTTTCTAGTAAACTTGATAAAGGAGACTTGTCTATAAATGTACATCCTTGGCTTCTGTGGTCCTTAGGTTAAAACAGCCTGGCAGCTCACAGAACTATGAGAGGGCTCTGTGGAAGCTGGCCTGTCCAGAGCCCAGCTGGCTTCCTGGGAGAGAAGTGACATCAGGGTCCAGCTGTCATCTTGGGGGACGCGTCATCTGGTTAGGCTTCCTGTGGAGTTTGTCAGAGAGCTTGTTGTGATTTTTGGCTGGGCCTTGGTGGGCCCCACAGGTCTCCTCAGTGTCTGTTCTGCCACTTGGGGCCTCAGAGAACCCTGGAGAGAAGAGTACTGCCTCAAGCGAGACTTAGGGACAGGGCTTGACAGGCCAAGCTAAGCCTGCTGTCCACAGCACAGAGTCTACACAGTGCCTGCCAACCAGGCAAGCAAGTCAGGACCACCAGGTTCTCTCACCTTGAGCTGCAGTCCTTCGCCTGGCCAGTGAAGTTCACCCCCCCCACACACATGTGCCTCACGGGGGCAGACAGCCTTGAGGGTCTCGGGACAGGTGCCATGCCTGCCCCCGGTGTCGATTTGGAGGCAGGAGTTGGGCTCTGCTGACCTAGACACTGTCCAGTGGAGGAGGAAATGTGTCCCCTGCCTCATACTTCCCTCTGGCTCTCTTCATTTGTGAGCTGCCTTCCTTCTGCAGGTGGGCCAGGGCATGCTCCATCCTGTCGTGTTGTATGCTGGGGAAGCTTCACCCAGGGAGCCCCACAGCTAGGGCTGCGGCATCCTGCCTTCCTGCAGGGCAGTCTCAGCATCCCTCAGCTCTGCCGTGGTTTTCAGAGAGGCAGAACTGGGCAAAAGAGCGGTCCCTCTGGGCAAGTGGGCCTTGGCTACTGACAGCTTGGAGTTGAGGAGTGAGCCAGGCTCAGAGATGCCATGCAGCCTCACCCTGTTCCCACAGGCTGGGCCTCAGATGGTCACAGTCTGCAGCGCACATGCCCTGCCGCACCCCGGTGAGCCTTGTCTGCTGTGCACAGGCTGTGCGCCGGGGCTGGGCCCTATGTGAGGCAGGTGGGCATTGGTGTGCATGTGACTGACCGTGAGCTTTGTGTGTAGACACATGCTCATGCCTCTCCTGTGCCTGGGCTGGAGCGTGTGTATACAGGAACTGCTGGTCTCTAGGTAGCAGGTAGGGGTCTGGGCAGACGGACCACAGCCCCTAGGCTGGCCTATGGTGTCTAGGCCCAGAACCCGGGCTGTGATGTGTAGGGTTTCTAACTTTATTTCCTCCTGCTGTGTCCAGGAGACGTCCTCTTCCAGATGGCTGAAGTGCACCGGCAGATCCAGAACCAGCTGGAAGAGATGGTAAGTCTGACACCCCTTCCTTGGGTGCGAGGGACCAACAAGGTGAGCACAGTAGCTGGGGATAGTCAGGCTGGCTACGTGCTCTGGCCACAGGTCCTCTGATGCCCGTTCAGGGTCTTGTCACCACACTCAGGCAGAGGTGTGCTGCCTAGGCTTGGGACACAGGTCACATAAGTCATCCTGAGCAGCCCAGGAGGTAACTCTCAAGGTCTCAGGGTACAGGAGGAGCCTTGAGGTGGGAGGTGTAGGCTGGGCCAGGGTATCATACTAGGCTGGGACCAGGTGAGGCCAGGGAGCCCTCTCCTGAGGAAGAGCCACATGCACCCCATGATAGGCCTAGTCAGGTCCCAGATTTCCTCTGTATACCCCTGTCAGGGAAGCACTGCTGGCCCTAGGGGGCCCATGTGGCCACCCAGGGTCCTCTGCTCACAGGTCAGGCGGTGTTGGCATTCAGGCTGCCCCAGCCCATGCACTGCCTTAGAGCTGATTGCCGGTCTCTTCTCTCTCTGTGTCCAGCTGAAGTCTTTTCACAATGAGCTCCTCACACAGCTGGAGCAGAAGGTGGAGCTGGACTCCAGGTACCTGAGCGTAAGTACCCTGCCCCGTACCTGTGGGCCACCTCTGCAGGCCTATGCTTCCACATGCCTCCCCAGGCTGAAGATGTTTAGCTTCTGCTGGGTTCTTATCCACGGGGGCTCTGCCAGAGCGCTTTCTGTGTGTGCCCCCAACCCTGGCCAACCGTTAGCAAGAGGATGGCATGGTACTCCTACACTCCTTTGACCTAAGTTCACTTGTGCCTCAGCTGGTGGGAAGAGCAGGGCCGAGGCCCCTGGCCATATGTCCTGTACCTCAGTGTCAGGAACAGGTTCGATTTTTGTCTTTAAGGCGTGTGACCTGCTTCTGATGGGTATTGCTGAGGCCCACTGTGGGGACCCCTCCTCTTCCTGTCCCTGCCAGCTGCAGTCTGAGCAGCTTGGGAGCAGCACCGAGGCTCACAGGCTTCTGGGTTTTGTTGTGGGCTCTTAGGCAGCACTGAAGAAATACCAGACGGAACAGCGGAGCAAGGGTGACGCTCTGGACAAGTGTCAGGCCGAGCTGAAGAAGCTCCGCAAGAAGAGCCAGGGCAGCAAGAATCCACAGAAGTACTCAGACAAGGAGCTGCAGGTAAGGCCCCCATGCTCAGCACGGGCCCTCCCACCCTGCTTTCAGGTTTCTGGATGGTTCTTGGCTGCAGAAGCAGAAACTCAAATTAAGCTCTCCCCTGTGCCTCTCGACTCCCACCCAGGAGCCAGACCCCAGACCGTTAACTAATCAACTGTGATCGCCTGCCCCAGGCTTGCCAGTCAACGGCATCTGTGGCGGCTCCTGGGGCAGCTCGTTAGTGCTGCTCCCCCTGTCCTGCCAGCACTGCAGGCGCCAGGTACAGAGCAGGCTCCAGTCAAGGATGTTGTGGCCTAGTGATGCCACAACCCTGGACTCGCTTCCTGAAACAGAGCAGGCCCAGAAAGCCCTGGCCTGTTCCTGAGGGCCTAAGAAGGCTGGTAAAAGAATGGGAAAGAAGGCAGGGCAGCCAGCTTGGAGAGGAGGTACCTGAAAGCCCCAGCCAATGAGCAGGAGCTCCTGAAGCACCCTAGGGTGCATGGGTGTGGTTCTGGGGTTAGTCCCTTGCCCGGGAGCCCCATCCACCTGTGCATGAGTGTGTATGTGCATGTATATATGTGCGTGCATGTGTGTGTGTGTCCTGTGGTGTCTGTAGTGCTGGTGGTGGGATCGGTTTTCCTTCCTTGACCACGCTGAAGCTGGTGGTCTGGGTGAGCCAGCCCTGAGAAGCCTGAAGGCCTGTGGGGTCACCTGGTGAGCCTGGCTGCCTGGGTAGATGAAAACAATAGAACAGGAGTGGAGGGGAGCCCAGAGGTCCTGTGACTGACCCCGTTGCCACCCTGTAGCTCTTGTGCTTTTTGCAAGATGGACAGAATGGCTCTTGCCTTGCCTTTATTACATCAGATATATTTTCTGGGTCTAGATCTGTTTTCAGTTGTGTGTGTATATGTGTGTGTGTGAGAGAGAGAGACAGAGACAGAGAGGGAGAGACAGACCGACCGACTGACCTGGGGCTTGAACTCAGGGTCAGGCATTGTCCCTGATCTCTTTCACTCAAGTCTATCACTCTACCACTTGGGCCACAGCTCCACTTCCAGCCTTTTGATGGTTCATTGGAAATGAGAATCTCATGGACTTTCCTTCCCCGGACTCAGTTTGAACTGCCATCCTCAGATCTCAGCCTCCGGAGTAGATGGGATTACAGGCATGAGCCACCAGCCCCTGGCTGTGTTTTGCTCAGTTTTAGTGGCTGCCATGAGCTATGTCCACCTCTGCAACCATGTGCAGCCCGAGGCAGGCATGGCTGGGCTTCCTTGAGCCATCTTGAGTTGTTCTTCAACAGCTTCCCCAGCGAGGGTTGAAGAGTACACACACACATACACACACACTCACACATACACACTCACACACACTCACACTCACACAGAGTGGTGTGTCCATTTTTCTTTTCTCCCTGACCTCTGGTGGCTTGGCCAACAGACAGCATTGCCCTTGACTGTCCAGGAGGGTAGCGGTCTCCACAGTACAGGCCCTGATTGGTCAGCACAGACAGGACTCTGGTCAACCTCCCTGAGAAACTAAGCCAGGCAGGGCAGCACTTCTCTGAGGGGACCTTCGGACCTGGTGTGGCAGGCTGGTGACGGTGCACCAGCCCCCAGCGGGAGCCAGGCCTGCCGCCCTTCTCCTCCAAAGGTGCCGTCAGCATATACAGCATACAGTCTGGGAGTTTCCAGTGTATTCCTGGACATGTGCATCCATCATTCCAGTCAATCTTGGACCACTTTTAGTAACCTCTCTGCCTGCTCCCCTCCAGCTCACTATCCCAGCCACCACCTACCTGCCTTCTGTCTGTCCATGTCTCTGTTGTGGGTGTTGACTGTGGCCTTTCATATCTGGCTTTTAGCACTGAGTACTGTTCCCAAGGTTCACTCTTGTTCTTAAGTGTCAACACCTTCCTCCCATGTGTCAGGACATTGCTAGGCTTTGGGGCATCAGGGTCTTCCTTCTCACAGATGAACAGCTCTCCCTCAGAGTCGGGCCTTTCCTCTGCCACCTGAGGCTGAGATCCATTGCTGGTACCCACACGGGCTTGCTGAGGCCCAGCCAGGTGGAGGCGGAGGCTGAGCACTTGGCATCTCCATTCTGCTTCCTTTTCATTCTGCCCTTGCACATCATTCTAAAGCCCACCATTTTAGGGGAGCCCTTACCACACACCCCAGTTTGCTGCCTATCCTCTCTTTCCTGGATCCCAGGTGGTCAACAGCCCAAGGAATGGGATTTGCAGGCTGGGTGTGCAGTGCCGTGACTCCTCTAGTCTTTCCGTGGCATGTGGGGCTTCGTGGTCCTGACGTACAGAACCTGCCCCGGGCCACCTGTGTGCTCTCCTCCTGGGCCTCTCGGCTACCTCTAGTGTCTCAGCAGACCTGGTTCCTGGCGAGACTGAGTGTGGAAGGGACTTGAGGGCTGTGGGGTGTAGCTTCAGCCTCTCTGTGCTCTGTGGTCTTGGGCCTGGTAGAGCCCTTTACTTCCCTCACCTGCACATGCGGGCAGCAGCTCAGCTTGCCGGTAAGGCTGCTGCAGATGCCAGGTGCAGAGTACTGGGCCGCAGAGCTGCAGTGCAGTGGCAGGGCTCACCTAGTGGCTCGTGGGTATTCCTCCACGGTAAATGTGGGTGATCCCAAACCAGAGACGCCTGTCTCCCCGGCAGCCTGACCAGCTGTGCCAGCTGGGGTTGCAAAGCCACAGCTGCTGAGCTCTGGGATGTTCAGTGTCTGAGCAGGTGTGGAAGACCGGTGTGTGTTTACGCCCTTCCATCTGTCTCCATCCTGCTGGATCACAGCCTGAAGCTGGGGTGCTCAGAAATGATGCTGAACTAGGGCTGGGAAGGTGGCTCAGTGGAAGAGTGCTTGCCTTGCATGCATGAGGCCCTGGGTTCGATTCCTCAGCACCACATAAGCAGAAACAGCCAGAAATGGTGCTATGGCTCAAGTGGTAGAGCACTAGCCTTGAGCTGAAGAGCTGAGGAACAGCGCCCAGACCCAGAGTTCAGGCCCCACAACTGACAAAAAAAAAAAAAAGAAAGAAAGAAAGAAAAGAAATGATGCTGAACTTGTAGCCAGTTGTGCCTGAGGCCCATGGCCCTCCCAGGCCCAGGGGTAGGGCCTGGAGGAAGCTCAGTGTGAGGATGTGGGTGACCAGGGGCTGGCCGTGCTTGGTGTGAGGGCTCACAGGAGTGTGGTAGACAGTCGCCAGTGCTGTTAGTGCCGGGGTTGGGTGTGCCTGGCCACCTGGGGCTGGGTGCTGAGACGCCTCAGAGGGCCTCAGCCTCGGGCCCTGGCCTCTGGTGCTTCTCCTTGGCCATGGCTCATGCTGGCCTTTCCTTCCCAGGCCCTAGGTCAGCCTCTGGACCAAGGCTTTCCTTTGTCCTGTCTCCACAGCAGAGCTGGGGAGCGCTCTCCCTGCCTCCTGGCTCTCAAGGACATTCAGTCCCTCTCTACGCGCCCTGACAGGCTGTGGCAGCCCTGGGATGGCTGCTTCCTGCCTTGGCTTCCCTGTTTGTGAAGTGGGGTGCTCTTGCCTGCCTTCCTCATCTCATCGTGGATAGGAAAAGCCCTGTCTCCCTTTCTGTCACTTGGGTGCTGTCTTCTTCCTCTCCAGCCCTTCCTTGTTTCTTTATGGAGAGTAGTGCTTTGGCCCTTAACCAGGTAGTGTTTACGTTCTGTGATTGTTCCCCAGACAATCGCGCCTTCCTGGGAAGGGCTGGGTCCTGTACTGCTGCCCCCGTCAGCAGGCTGGCTCGCTGTGGACAGTCTGTGCGTGCTCAGCGCTGCCGGCTTCTTAACAGGAGGAAGCCAGTGAAGGATAGGCATTTTGTCTACAAACCCCTCATGGAGGCCAGAGGACAGGGCAGGGTGCCCTTTGAGTCCTTTACCCCACGTCTGAGTTTGAGGGTAGTGTGTGCTTGGTGTACAGCTAGACTGGGTCCTTCTTTAAAGGAAAAAAAAAAAAGACGGGAGCTCAGGGCCTCCTGCTCTCACTTGGCTGTTTTATTCACTGCTGGCCACTTGAGCCATGCCTCCTTTCCAGCTTTTTAGCTGATTAGTTGGAGATAGCGTCTCAGACTTTTCTGCCTGGGCTGGCTTCAAACCTTGATTCTGAGATCTTAGCTCAGATTGCAGGTGTGAGCCTCCATGCCTGGCTCTGAGTACCTCGAGCCGGGCGGGAGGAGTGCTGGACTGCAGCCATCTGCCGGCAGCCTTGCTGGGACACCCTGTCCGCCAGGCTGCTCTGGGACCCTGGCCACTGGGACAGTTCCTTCTGGCCCCACGCCTTTGCCAACCTGGCCCCGGGGCCAGAGTATGACTTCCGCTCTGGGTGTAGCTGCTGGGGGCTAGGCAGAGCACCTCCCTTGAAGGGGAGGAAATCCCTGGGCCTGTGAGCAGAGTTAGCCTGGGCCAGTTCTGCTGGAGCTCCGCCCTGCTCCACCCCACCCCTCTGCAGAGCTGCACTCCCCCACACTGGCTGGCCTTCAGGGTCTTTTGGGTCTTGGGACTTCAGCAGTCTTGGCTACCAGGAAAGGGGCCTTCACTTCTGGAGGGTTCTTTTTTCTGTTTGCCTCTGTACCTTTGCCCTCAAGAGCATCTGGGGGGGTCTCAGTCCTGTGACTTTCTCCCCTAGTGGACCAGAGCCAAGTGGGTCCTGGCTACAGGATGTCTTCACCTGTCAGGCAGCTTGGGTCCATCCTAGGATCCTGAGTCAAGCTAAGCCCACGCTCCAGCGCCTGCCGCTTCTGTTGCTGTTGGAGGGAAAGTCTGTGCACTAGACCTGCTTGCATCCCCGCGCCCCTGCTTTTCTCAGGTGTGGTACCACAAGCGCAAGGGGAAAGGCTCCACGATGCAGTTGTCAGATGTGCGTTTTGCTCGGTACCCCTGAGAGAGGAGCGGTTTGCTGGGGCGATTAGTCTCTGGGATTGCTGGTGGGGCTGGAGCCTGTGCCCAGGAACAGGGATGTGATCACCAGAGAGATCCCAAGGCCCCCGCACATCGGAGCCGGAGCCCACGGAC